ATTCTGGCTGATTGACTTGTAAAGTTTGATTAGATAATTATTTAAAATTATCATCTCAAGGTCATTTTATTCGACTTATCATGGAGGGGTAAGCATTTGTGGAATGTTTAAATGGTATAGCTTGAACAGTCTGAGATTCTTTAGGAAGTTATAACTTTGAAATTAGGGAAATAATATACTGTATTTAATTTATATCCATGTTAACTAGTGCAACAATTAAAGACACATTGATTCGAGTATTACTGGAAGTATCAATTACTTCCAATTTACAAATGGTCCATGCTGATATGTGCTGATTAGCAAATGAAGTTTGAAAAAGAGATCGTTTCTGAGGAATGGAAATGAAAAGTTTATCATTAGTGAATTAGAAAATCTAATTAATACCCGTTCGAGTACAAGTCAGTTTTGCCATTTGACAGAACAAACCACATTGTTTTTTTTAAATTTTACAATACTTTCTGCATGATGAACTGAGACCTACCACAAAATCATTGAAAACTAAGGACTGCTTAAACGGTTGTTTGATATTCGTTAAACGTAGACATCTGTGACCATGGGAAATGTCAAATTCAGATTACATCTTGTGGCTGGCGTTGAACCGAAATATATAACAGCCCTTATATTTACAACTACAGTCAGATTATTATTGAAAAGGGTTTGAATTATCCCATTGTTAATATTCAAGAATGAATTTGAGTCAATATTTTTGGCATATGTTAATTTTATGATATTTGCTCCGATTTAACCATCTGGTCACAACTTTTCTTAAAAGCAGATAGGTTGTGGCTGTCGGTGAGATCTAGAACGCGCGTCTTGTCGTATCTGAGTTTCGTCAGCTGGATTTGCCGACATCCCAGTGTTGATGTTCATATTGAGACCAAAACATGATAATTAAAACATAGTATTTCGCGTTCATATTAGCTTTGTGTGGAAGTTCTTATCAAGACAATAATTAACTTCAAAATCAAACTTCTCTTTACAAGCTATTTGAATGAATCAGCAGTATAACGAATGTATGATCATACTGTCCATGTCAGCGCCCTGATGCCTAAAACACTGAACTTTCCACCACATTATTGTAGGGGGTGAACTCTGTTTCATCTTAGCCTTAATTTAACTAGCTGAATGGTAGTAGTTGTTTTGTAGCCTTTAACAAAATTGTTGCTGATTAAAGTACAGTACATAAAATTTGAATTTGATGAGTTGCATTGATATTCTGTCAATACGGTAAACAATTATTTCCCCTTCCCATTTTAAGATTAGAATGGTTACCGTTTTTTTCATGGATTCATTAACTAGATGAATAACGTTTTTATGGGAAAATTACTCATTTTATTATTGAGATCATGAACCGATTGCTGTTAGACGACCATTGAAAACCTGGAAGCACTGGACAGCCGTTTTGTCCTCGTATGGAACTCCTTAGCAGTGCGCATCCACGAACCCGGCTCACGAGATTCAAACTCGGGACCTATCACGAGCGCTTAAACTCTAGACCACTGAGCCGGCGTCCAACGGTATTAATGTCTGACCTCAACCAATCCACGAAATTGTATGACCATCTTCCATTGTACTGAGGTAGATATCTGTCTCTACCCGACACAGATTAGCTCCACTAGTAACGGCTTCTCACCAGAACTCCGAGAATTCCCTCATCAAGCTAGTCATTAGTGAGCATATGGTAATTATCAATCATTAAAAAAACTTGATAATCTCCACAACCCTATTTGGAGAATTATTCATATTTAAAATAATAGTAATTTCAAATCACTGTTATTTATTCATTGAAATTGATAATTGTTTTAGTAAATTGCAAGAAATCAATATTACTGTGATCAGTATTTAATTTAGTTTTGATCAATGTGTTCTTGTAATTTTGTTATTGTTCATTGATTAGTCGATCGAAAAATATCATATGGTAGTTAAACATTTTTGAATATTTAACCAATGAACTCCAAATGACTTTCACTTCAATTTGGTCAAAATGTGATTTAAAGCCTTCCACATGTATTGTACTTGATCATTTTGTTTTGCTAAAAGAAATTAAAATAATTCAAGTTACATTTTGCAGAGAAACATTGATTATTATCAGTATATGGGTTTGTGAGGATTGTTGAAATTCTATAGAGATCACAAAACGACTGAAGTTAAATATCCGGAAGCACTGGAGAAATGTTTTGTTATATTATGGTACTCTTCAATAGTATGCGTCCACGACTTCATCAGAGATCGGATGTTGAACTTACAGACCACTGACTTAGAATCCAATTCTGTTAGACATGTACACTTGGGTTATTTTATTTTACCAAAAACACTGATAAACTGTACTATTACACTGAAATAAGATATGCAAAACATTATTAGGGTTTTATGTTAAAATAGCGTGGAAATCTTAAAAGCATTAATATATAATGAATAGATGGGGATGTATTTTGAGTTACCGTAAAAGTTCGGGAATTATCACTTTATTACTTACTAAGATAATACTACAAATGTGTAGGGTCCACTGATTAGATTGAACTCTGAAATCAATAAATCGGTTATCTAGTATTTAGGTCAATTTGGACTATCCAAATAAATTAGATTATGATATGAATGTTCAATAAACAACTAATTACTTATTACAGTGAGATACATATTTATAAAAAGTTTGCATTGGCATTTCCGTTTCACACAGGCCACTTCCTATAATCTTAATTGAGCGTTTAGTAACAAGAAATACATTTAAACCAAAGTTAAACAGTCAAACCCTGGATACCGATGAAAGATGTTAAAAAAACGATGTAATTCACAAATTATTTGTAGTTAGTTTTATTGGTTGATTACTAAATAATGACGAGTGTTATGCGTCTCTATCTCTCAGTGCTAATGGAAATTTGTTGAAAACGTTATAATATGGCCTTTAAAACTGAGTCACTGTACAAACGAACATTTTACATGCTCTTATAGTTCGATTTTCTCATGAAATGTTTGATTATTCTTTTACTGGAAAGGAGTGTCAATCTTGATGGTTGGTGGGCTCAATCTTCCAAAGCCTAAGCTTTCGTATACGAGATCGAAAGTAATGGGTTCTACTACTGACTAAAGAATTGCGAATGCCCACTGTTGAGGAGTCTTATACTAGTTTGAAATGATGTTTCAGTGATTCCAGGTTTTCAATGGTGGTCTAACTACGATCAATTCATTTAGTAAATGTTGGAAACCAACCATATGTGCAGAACGTAATTTAAACATTATTCAATTTTAAGGCAAATGTTTACCAGTTTCCAGTGATTGTCTGTGATGGGTCCATAATGTAATACTATGAAAGCAAACAATCTTCAACGCTCTTTGTTCTAATAAATCGGTTTTAATCAGAAGAAGCAAATATTTTAATCATAATAGTGAAGCAAGTTTTCTATCCAATATATGAAAACCGTGGATCATTTCAGTTACTTAGATCATCCACAGCATTTTGAATGTTTAGTGAATGTTTGTGGAGAACAGATGCATTATTAATAGCAGTTGAATCCAAAGCGTGTGTTTTTTCCTATTAGGGACTGACTTATTACTTAGTCAACACCTGTATAGAACTTCAGTAATGTTATCTAGAAACTAGTTGCCAATTAGAATATAGCTATTATTACTGCTACAGTTGTATCTCTAAGCCCGACTAACTATCATGTGATTTATTCGCCAATCGAAATACGACTCATACAGTGTTAGCAGTGGGTCAAACCAATAATGAGAGTGTCTATGTACAAACAATCCCTCATATAGGATGAAATAATTCAGAACTGAATAACACAACCACAAACCAGTAATAACAGTATATAAAGTAATGATCTGTAATTGCTTTGAATATACGAACGATTATTTAGTGGTGGTAGTAAAATAGAGAAAATGGGCAGTTATTACACGAATGCAGTATACGATACTGGAAGTAACTTCACATAGTCCGATTATTTGCAGTTCCGAATACTAACAGCAGGAAATTAATAAACCCTATTAAAGCTTTCACAACCGTTCAATAAGTTATTGTCTACCTTAACCCAGTAGCTCAGTGGATAACGTGTTGGCTGTTTAAAATGAAATGTGCTGGGTTCGAGTTTCTGTGTGAACGTTCAAAATGGGTTGTAGGTGTATAAAGTTGACAGGTCTCAAATACACTAAAAGTTGTAACATAATGCTACCTCGACGGGATTCGATAAAGATATTCAGATGACAACAGAAAGTGATCAAAATTCAGTCCTGAGTGTCAACGACAAGAAATCATAAACCCTCATCAGTAATTTCTTAGATTTATATCTTCAATATGGATTAGGTGCTAATGATATTTGTCTTTAACGACAAAGGAACCTCTCCAACTAAACCATTTAGTGTACAGAACTCAATAAAACGAAAACATCCACCTGAGGTGAAAATATCTTCCACCAGTTCTATATCCTACTATTCATGTTCATAAGTACATATATTTTTTGTTTGTGTATAATTCAAAGAGAGACTGAGAACGAATGAATGAAAACGAGATGTCTAACTGTGCAGTAAAGAATTCTGTATTATTTCCCATAGTTTGTATTCTGTGAAATAATTTCTCCACAGTTAAAAATACAATTAGTCATGATAACCGATCATGTTGAATTCAATAAAAAAACCCACAAGACTGAATTGATAGCAATATCTAGTTTGAAATTGGAACGTTTCTCAACCAAAACACAGCTCATTGCATATTTTTGAATTTCATGATAGTTATCTGCTACCTGTAAAAGTTGTTAACAACATTATATATAGTAGACCATCTTCAGCGAAAGTTTTGACAACATGAAAGTTCTAGACAACTATTTGGTTTCACAATCGAGCAGTTTAGTGATATGGGTACTTACCGCCCTATCAAGGATTAAACTCATGACTTGCAGACCTAGAAGAAAATGTGTTGCCATTTTAATCACTGATTTGTTAACCAATAATTCATACTTTCAAGTTTACTCAATTTATAATATTATTATTTACTATATGATTAGGTATCGGGAAAAATCTATTGATTTACTGACTTAAACTCATGCTATTTACGCGATCGCTATTATTCATGTTATTTCTTTAGCAACATTATATGTCCCAAGACATATTTACTGGTTATATGGTGCAACATTTACACCAAGGTGGCAATTTCATCGAATAATGGGTAAGTTGATTAATTTAATCAATAAGTGGGAATGCTGGGAATCTTATTCCCTTTTATCCTGAATTTTTATATGTCACATATACCTCAAAATAAATGAAGTGAGTTATTGTGAAGATCGGTTTAATTTGTAGGTGTAGAATAAGAACAGCTGTAAAACCGAAGTGTTGTTCCGTAGTCATTTGGAACTATTATGGATGAATAAATAGCCAAGGTTTTACACGAGATCCAATGAATTAAGTAACTCTTCTGCATCTGTTAGGTCATAATGAGCTGGGGACCCTGAGAGATCCTACAAACACCTTTGGTTATGGTCCGAATTAGATCAAGTAAGCTTAAATGATGATTAGCGTTTCAGATTCAGTATGCAACAATACCATGTGATGCTTGTAATGTTGCTTACATACCGTATCATAATTACTTTTTGGTCACAAAACAGATATGTTTATCAATTTTTCGAGCCTTTTAACAACCTAACACGAGTAATTTTTACTATTCTCGAGATTAGATGTACCGGTAAATTTGTCTTCAAATGTTCAATATTTTTGCAATATCCGACAATACTCGACAAATAAATGGTGAAATGTTCGAAAATTTCAAATGCTGCACTTTAATAAACATCAAAACAAGATGAATAACCTCACACCTTAGCTTATGGTAAGGTATTTGGATTTAGCACAAAAATCCAAAAATGACAATCTTAGATCTGATTAATTCGTTATTATAGTATATTTTAGCAACAACAACAACAACAGAAAGGGAGTAGTTATAAAATATCCATTTGTTTTAAGACAACTTCAGGAAAAAGAATTTATTAAGGGAACTAATTTCTTTGTTTGTTACCAAAATGATTTCTCTGAACTTTTTTTTAAATTCATAAATATCCATTTTTCAAAGTCGATATAAAAATTAAAATTGATTTTATTGGTAAAATTCACTGGTTGTCATAGTTACACCCTTATACTCTTAAGCCATGTAATATAATCGTATATTTTTATTTAAGATTTCAATTTGTTTTCAGTATTAATAATGTAAATGATAAAAATTTATCAGAAAAGTATAATATTTTACCTTATTTCATAAAACAAATAGAGATAAATCAATTAATTTAAGTTTAGTCATCATACCACCTGCTAAGTGTGGAAGATTTTATATTAATGTTGAAATGATATAAAGTGATTGATTCTCGCTGGCTGTTCATTCAAATTAATATCTATTAATAAAACGTCTGTCTTATTATCCACAAAATTGGTTCATCGGAGACTTTATAATTAGTTTGACAATAATTTCAACTATTAAAAATATAAGAATGATTTAATGTAGTACATTAACAAACCACATAAGAATGAAAACAAGTCATCAATCATTTCGAGTAGTTTGAAGTGTTTACTACAAAAACCTCTAAAATAGACATTGTGCTCGTTGGCATTTGTCACCAAAACATAACTGCAATCTTGAGGAAACTAAACTTCCCTATTGGATTCGAATTTGCGTCGCCTACTTTCAAAGTCTAAAATGTTATCGTTGATCTACTCAGCCAGCAACTGAACTCTTGTAGGACCGACACATGTGGAAAATAAAACAAGTATTACCGGTGATAATAAATAATGGCCAATGAATATCGTGAATTGACTAATGAGCGTGAATTAGTTGCGCAAAATCCTTGACGATCAGAATCCCCTTATCAGAACGAAATCCTTGTTTATTTACCCATGATTTTCGTTGATTGACTCGCTAAAGTCAGTTGAGTATTGTAATTATCTAAAAGATTGAACAAAGCAACCTTTCATGGGATAGAAAACTTGCTGCCGTGATCAGGTTTTAACAAGATATGAATGACAAAATTTACAGACTCAGTCATCCGGCTTAGACTTTTTTGAGAATGTGCAGCATTTCCATTAATTATAGTAGTTTGAACTGTTATTGATAGGATTACCCCATTCACAAACATTTCTCAGATTATTTCACTCTTGTCGACTCACTGGATATTCGTGTAATGTAATTACACTTTCTGGTTCTGTACTTTACTTTCTCACAGAGAGGTGTTTTTTTTCGTAGGAATTTTATAAAATGTAATCACTGGATAAGAAAAAGAGAATTCGGCGAGGAAAATTTTCTTTTTGACGAAATCATTTACTTAAGCTGTACATTCGTATATATAGTTATATATGAAAAATATAGGTCTATAGGAGGATAGAAGAGATTGCACCATAAAATGGATTCGAGACTAAATAACAAATGCGGTTACGCACTAATCAAGGGGTAAGGAAGGAATATAAAGATGAAAATAATTTATAGGTCAGATAATAGACCTATATTTTCTATATAACTATATACATATACGAATGTACATCTTAAGTGAATGATTTCGTCAGAAAGAAAATTTTTTTCGTTGAATTCTCTTTATTTTTGTTCAGTGACATAATGAGTTATTTTTATTATCAAAATGTAATCACTTGATAAACTTAAAATAATACAATAATAATTAGATTTGCAGGATAGAAGAGTATTTGCAGTAATGTTATAGTATATCATATGGTAACTTCTTCACTATACTTATAATTACTAAGTAATAAGTGGAATAATTTCAACTTCTGACATAACATTTCCGTTGATTGCAATCAGACAGTATGAAAAAATTCAAAGAAAATATTTGTGGAATACTGTACACTGACCATTTCAACTTCACATAAACAGTGTTATTAAAATTGGAGCGATATTTATGATGGTACTTCAAGAATTAGTGTCACTATTTTTCTTACTCTTCCCATCCTTTTCATACCTCAAGGAGTCAGTATCATATGTTTGTTATAACTTGTGGGTTTGTGTCCCTATCAATGCATAACGTAATGATACCGCCAATTATAGAGCAATGAATTATCGACCAAACCAATGATATATAAAACAAGTACGATCAGTCTAGTCTTTATCGGTCCTGCTTCCCGCCTAGTCCAGCCAGTTAAGTCCAGAACACCAATCTCAGGCTCTGCGATATGAAACATGTATTTCAAACATATTGGGTTTACATGCCAACCAGACAGATCACATCGTACCATAAAATAGAAAATAAAATTTTACAAGATTTAGCCAAAAGTTACCATGAATGTGGGAGATAGTAATTGATAGACTGGACATAAGTCAAGAATGGTAAATCGTATAATAATAGTCTATGGGTCAAAGTAAAGCTTATAATAAGGGAGAAACAAATATGAATAGTTTAGTTACTCAACAAATATACAATAAAAATATATGTATAATATTAGTCCAGAAATAGATTCTAACAGTTACCATCCATTATTCTCATCGGAATATAACAATGTTTATTTCTTTAATAACTAGCTATATACCGTAGTCAGACAACTAGGTGCCTCTGGACAGCTTTTTTATTTTCAATATGAGGCACTTGAGCAGTACACATACACGATTCCATCATGAACTGAATCCAGGGCCTTTAGATTTAACAGCTAGAACTTTACCTTTAGACTACTCATTCGGGATAGGATGGTTTATATGTTCATTTTTAATCAATTTGTGGCATCGTAAAGCCATCTTCCGATGACACTGGTCGGTAATCACTTTACACTCGACATGTTCGAACTCGACTAATCCCGGTTTTTCATTGGAGTTGGAGTTACTTTTCGAAATTAGTCACTAGTGAAAGCGTGAGTTCAACCCGTTTATACGTGCTTTCAAGACGTTTTAACGTAGGATAAAACAGATGTCCAATAGTTTTTAGTTTTCAACGTTCTCAATACTAAGTAGACGTTGGTCATTAATTGATAACAACAGTAACATTGTGGTGTTTGCTACTTATGGTGATATATATAAGTAGTATGTGGCAGCAACCCGACGTGGCTCTTACACTTCTTTTTTTACATAGTTGGCAACGGAATACAGTATGACGTATTATCTGATATTTTACTGCCTTACCTACTTATTAATATTACACGAAAGGGTTTTCTAAATCAGCCCGTTTATTTGTAATTATGTTACTATTACATTTCTGTTGAAGTCTAGAATGATAAGATAGATATTCAGCACGTTTATTTGAACTACGTACAGTGGCCTTGAGACTACATTTCGACACCCAATTGGTACATCCTTATACTTTAGTTTTACCAATAATTTTTATGTTCCTTATACAACTTTCTATGCATAGTAATATTTTTTAATGAATTTCTTTTTCTTAACACTTTCAGCTGGTTGTGGAATGGAATTATACAGTGTAAGATTGAGTCATCCAATAAATGTAGCAGGTGTATTCATTGGTTTCACTTTAGCCTCACCATATTTAAGAACATGGCCATATATTCTATCTGGATTAATGAATTCATCAGAAATTAATGTGTTCAATCCTATATATTGGATAGATAGACCTATATTAGAACATATTGGCTGTTTATTATATATACTACCATCTTCAATACGTTGGGGCAGTACAGTTATTGTTAATTCGTTTCAACAATATCCATGTTCACTAGCAAATCCACTGGAACCATCATCATCATAATCAGCAGCAGCATTATCATAAAGAAGATACGAATGAATAGTTAAATTTAAATATGCCTTTAGTTCAGAAAAATACCGTTCTTGTACGCATCAAAATATCCTCAAAACACTTTGAATATCACACTTAAATATACATTTTAAACATTCTATCTAAATATATTATTACGGTAAGACTATGATTTATGGACGAACCAATCGGGTATAAAATAACAGGCCTCGGATTTTGGCGCGAAATTCACTCATCCATCTGACTAAATAGAGTCTTGGCATTATAGCTGATGTCAGCTCGTGATTATGTAATTTCTAACCCTAACCATTAATCCTTATTTTTCAAACTGCTTTATAACCTTCATTTAGCCATAGTAAGTAGGTAGACACTCATAAGGTCACCTTGGCATCGCTCAAAAATCGTCCATAAATTATAATCTCACCATTACTACTGCATAAACAAGTTCCTTACCTACTTCATCCATTCTTTTTTAGCAATAAATTTTTTTTGTATTTATACTTTTCAGTTGTTTTTTTGAAAATTCAATATTCACATTCATTCATTGTTTTAATGGTGATATCTAATTGTGGAGCACTTTTCATTTTATTTGGTTAATGATTTAATGTTATTTATTAGATTTTTTTGTTTGATTTTCATATAGAAATATATTCTCTTTTAATTATTTTCTTGATTCAGAATTCTTTTCTTTTACATTTCTACTGTGATATGAAGTTGGTCTTTTTGTTTTTTTAAGCGCGAAAAAAAATGGGAAAACATAAATGATAAATAAATCATAAATAATTAACAATAGTACAACACCAAAGTCATTATTGTCATTTATATCACGAATAAACAAACAATAACAGCAATTAATCTTCTAGTCAGTCATTGTGAAATAAGCTTGTGATGTAAATGACAGTACGTGTGTTTCATGATGTAATTGTTGACATTCGTTTTTCGGGTATTATCATACTTCTTGCTGTTGTTATTATTATTGTTATTGCTTTTAAAACACTGTAAAGTAATTGAGAAACAATGAACACCTTCAACTTAACACACACAGTACCAGAGAATAATTGAGATTACTAGTAGAAGGCATTTGTTTTATTAATTGCACAATTATTGTTATTACTATCTTGTATTATTTGTTAGATTCATTAAAAAATATAATTAAGTACACCTTCTTGCTTATTTTTTTATTCGGATGCAAGAAAAGCAGTATGTATTTTCGGCTAAAAAGTTTTGTTCTTGTTTGATTATGAGTATGTTTGTTGAAGTGTAGAATACGTTTGTGTGCATGGATGTGCGAAGTATTTACAAAATCTCGTACTAAGTCAGACAGCCAGTCAGTCATAACTAACGTAGAACCGAATAGTTATCCACATCGGTTCAAGTTGCTACATTACGTCAGCACAACCAGATAGTTAGGTCACCCTTAGCTCTCAAACCTACTCCCACACATCAGCCAATATAATCAACCATAAGTAAACAGCTATCATCGGTCCTTGATCAATCAAATTCGACCAACACTAAGGAATAGAATGATGCTTATTACTACTGAATGATCAAATAGTATTGGTTGGAATCCCAAATGAACATGATTTTCTCGAATACTGTAAATGCTCTTGGAGGTATGTCAATTAACGCAAAATTTAGGTGGAACATATTGTCCTATGATTTCGAGTCACCTAATCATGTCTTCTAAATGAATATTCTGCATTGTTTCCTTCGTACAAATTAAACTTGGCTTAATGCAATTCGGTAATTATATATTTTGAAGTTAAGAGACGTCAGAAATAAGATTTTCTGCTCATTGGGATATAACAAAAAGTATATTTACTATTACCTCTCTACCCAACGCTCAATTTATTTTAAACTATCAAGTCCAACTTTAGCATCTAAACCTTCTGAATGGACGCTCGATACGATATCCTAGTCGCTTTTAAAAATCCCCCTCCAGGCTAAATCTACACGGTAACTCGAACACGAGAGAAAAGAGACAAAATACAAAGAGAACGCTTTACTCTACGGTTAATTTTTGTATAGAAAAACGAGGGTATTTGTAGAGTTATACACAATCTTCGGCTTTCTGAGGTTTCTGGGACCATACTAGATCTAGCAGCAGTGTGGGTTTATATCCAATCAGAAACGTGACAAGTGACTTCATTTTCTAAATGTCTCTGCGAAGAATTTACCCGGCGTTGATTGGATAAAACGTTTCCTGGAGTTTATAGGCCCCTATGGACTTTCCCGAAGAATACTTTGGAACTCCCCAACACTTCGATTAGAGGTCACGTTATAACTTGGCAAATTAGTATAGAGGGCTAAATGAACAGTAATTGATTAGTGGTCAGTCATCAATCATTATAAATAGATTCATATTTGAGGAAGGGTTTTTAATAAGTAATATTTGAGTTATTTCTTCCTATCTTCTAACTCAACAATAGATTAAACCAATGATTTTTTTCATGAAGCCTAAAAATCTTGGGCTCTTTAGCAAATCTATTTGTTATATTTTAAATTTCTGAGCACACAAAGTTAAGTGGATCAAACTTTGTAATATTTAGCCGTATTGTATCAAGTTTAACTAATAAAGCAAGAAAACCACCTTCTTTTTCGTTAGTACTTATCTGAATAATTTTAATTCCTGAGAAAGAAAAGTCAAGAAAATGAACTTCAACTGGTTGATAGATGAACTCGAAGAATCAATTCAATTCAACTTATAAAAGGTTCACAGAAGAAGGCTGTGAAGAAGTTCTGCAAAAAGTGCTGTGCATTTTTGTGAACTTAACATAAACCACTTTTGTAAATAATGTAAAGAAGAATATGGAGTAGAATTATTAAGATTATAAGATTTCTGAAGAAAGATGAATTAATTTCGTGTGCTACAATTTGACAGTCTGTTCATTATTGAGTCTAATTAAAAACGTAAGGAACAAAAGTGGATTTAAAATAAATTAAATACAAATAGCATCTAGGCGTAGTAAACATTAAACTTGTAAGATAATATTCTTCTTTTGAATGATTCATTTATCCTAATAAATTATCTAATTTAACTATCGTCCATATTATTCAACTTTACACTTCTGATGAATGTGGATAAAAAGGACCATATGAACAGTTGAGATCTACATATAAGTGGATAACGCAGTGGCATTTGGAGTGAATGGTGTTGGTTTTGAGTCAAAGAGTAAATATCAACTCTGAAACTCAAGTACATCCAGCTGACGAGTCTTAAGTAAGAATAAACGCATATCTTGGATTCCACTGCTATCCATTACCCATCTCTATAATGCAATATTGAGACAATCCTCACAGAATGCCCATATGTCAAAAGAGACTGATCTATTCCAGTTCTATAGCTCAAGTGGAAGATTCAAACAAGCAATGCAAATCAATTAAATAAATATTTACTTACTTTAATCAACAAAGACTGGGAAATCGGATGAAAACTTTTGGGGTAGACAAATCAGTGAATTAATCAATAAAATTATTTATTACTAGTCTGAGCCATATCAATAGGTGCAAACTTCTTGTTTGAAACCTATCCAGCAGTCGTAATGTATGGCTATAGACTTTGAAGGGGATTTTCCAAAAGTGATCACAACAACTCATTTGCCTTCATTCTCTAAACCTTGAAGTTAGTGCCAATCCTAATTTTACGTTCTTCATTATCGCTTATTCTGATCAAATCGGATTTTTAGATTTTTATTTCATTCAAGATAACATTATTCCCCCCATATTTCCCATTTTGTTAGTTTTTTTCTCTCACTTTGCTGATGTAGCAACAAGCACCAATAACACATTCTTATGGGGTCACATATTGACTGTAACTTAACTGAATTTTAATGATCAAAGTGCTATTTTTATATAATACATGGATTATATCTATCAGCAGAATTCATAATGTGTATTTCATCCTATGCGCGAGTAGTCACTGGGGTTCATCCGCATGCGTATTGTTGTTAGCACTGAGACTTTAACCTAGTACCTTTCGCTCCAAATACCAACCCGTTATCCATTAAGCTACTGAGTCCAGGAGAAACACCGAGTTTGAGTCCTAATGCACATATCAACACGGACGAAGATACATTCGACTGGCGACTTCCGGATTGAAAAAAACGGCATTGTTGATCTCGCTGTTAGCTATAATCCATCTATTAAAAAAATCTTGTGACAGAATTGCCATATTGTGGCAATCCACGCAGAATGAATACGTGCCAGCAAAACTGATCGAAATTCAACAATGATTGATAATAATATGGCTAATTTTATTTAAAAGCTATCTATCGTTCAATACGTCTATATTACAAAACCAGCGTAATCGTCTAAAAGACTTAACAGTTAATTATGTTAGCCAGTTAATCAGATGATTATTTAAGAATATTAGTAGTATAGGTATTGGCAACGGTTCGTGATTTCCGGTTGTTGATATTTAGGGGTATAACTGATCAATCTCAGCTTTCATCATACTTCTAAACATCATCAGCACGAACTTCAAGTAGAAGTGAATTGTTCAAATTTCTCCACATATGACTCATAGCTTGTCCAGTAGACCTCGATCTTGATTGGTTGTTGTTGACCTTAAATCTGTCGCTGTTTATTTCCTTATTTTGATTACATATCCCATTGATTTGATTCTTATATATTCTTATTTCTATATTTGTTCATAATTTTACTGATTCGTCGATAAATTGGATCGATCTCAACGTATTTGTTGATTACTGATTGACCTGGGTCCCAAGCTTCTAAAAGGTTTCTGGTGCTTTTAGAATTCTTTCTATACAAGATCTCAACATTTTCCCAGTAGACTGTGTGTCCACAGTTGTCCACCTGCATTGATATAAGCGAGGATATGTGATGGAGTTTGACCGCTAATTGATGTTCGTGCAGGTTAAGATGAAGGGGGTATCCACTTTGTCCGATGTAGTGTTTTTCGGAGTTGGAACAATTTATCTTGCAAATGACGTTCGGTTTTTATTCTTTTTACATTTCATCCTTTTGTTTGCATAGGATTGATTGAAGTGATTTTGTTGGTTTACGTGTTACACCTATTTCAAAGGGAATTGACAATCTCGTCGTAATTTCTGATATACCTTTTATATATGTGGTAGAATGATCCGTTTGTTGGTTTCTGTACTTGGTTTTGTTTCTGCAGTCGTTCTTTTGAAAGATAGTCTTCAGGTATTTTTCTTCACTTTTCCGCACTGCAAGTGTGTTGAAGTATTTCCTCGCCCTTACGAATAAAGTTTGTATGCCGTTGATTTTGTGAGTCCTTGGATTGTTGCTATTGTAATTGAGAATTTGATCTGTACGGGTTGGCTTCCGATATACTTGAGTCTCCAGTTTTCCTGTGTCAGTCCTGGTTATTAATACATCCAAGAGTGACATTTTATCGTTTGATTCCTGTTCCATTGTGAACCTTATGTCATCGAAGGCATTGTTGACCAGATTGTAGATGTTTTCCAGCTCGTCCTTTTTGACAATGGTGAATGTGTTGTCTACATAACGAATCCAAACTTTTGGCTTGATCACTGGTAAGATCGAGGTTTCCAGCCTCTGTATCACTGATTCTGTAATAAGTCCTGATATTGGTGATACCATTGATGAGACATAATTATTCGTATGAAACTTCTAACTCAAAGCTATATTTAGCTTCACTCTAATTATTTCTATTGAATGAAAGGTAATGGCAGTAGTCTTGGTTGATTCCTATTTTGAAAGTCTATAATACATCTTTATTCTGTTATTCATTAATTTGCTCACTAACTTGTGATTTAAACTGTTTTTACTATTAAGTCCTTTACTTGATTACGGCAGAATACGATATAGGACTAGCGGCACATGAATGTGTAAAACCTCATGGTCGCAAAATCAGAAGCCAGAAGAAACAACGGAGGTAATTATTGGGTAAGAATAGAAAATGTACAGAAAAAAACATGGGTATTTATAGTTATTAGCGTTGGCTATAACGTCATTATAGTTCAGTCAATCCTCAAGAGGGCAAGTTATGTTACCATCCAATCGTAACTCGCTACGTCGATATTCTGGAAGGCTCTGTCGGGCTCTGATTGGACGGAAACTCTTCGGTTCCTTTAGAGCCTCTGGAGGCCTCGCCATGCTTCTCAACGCCATCACAACATTTACATAGTTTGATTAAGGATTTTCTGAAACGTTGATAAGCTTAATTTTTCAATAGTATTCATCATAATTTGCTATCGGTAAACATTGGATCGCTTTCACTACAAAAATTCTCAATGTTAGAGTGCACTTACAACCTCAGAGTTGTGAGAGGTTGAATCTTTTAGGTTTTGCAAGAAACAAGCTGCATTAGAATCACTCACTCAAAATTCAGTGGTCAACATTCCTAACTTAACGTTAAAACTAAACACTGTTTTGGCATTAAGAATCTAAATAACTAAATAGTACATCTTACGGTTGAATATTTGTACAATAACAGATTATAGAAACAGCAAGCTTTCTTCATTTAATCAAGTTTACTGATTCATTGTATTACTTAATTTCAATAAGTTAAAACACTTATCTTTAATATTCGCTGTTGATTACCATTAAAATTTATAAAATAAAATGAATACCTCATTCTTGACCTTGGTGTTAAACTGAAAACTTTACAGTTGAAACTGACTAAACATTATAAAGAGTATTGTCTTGATAATTCATCATTTAACTCAACAATTCTATACCAGTTGTTTAGGTGCAAATATTATGTGAAGATTAGAGATACTAACTCAACATCACACACAGGATGGCAAAGTAATTTACGAACATGTAATAAAATGGTTGCTACTAATGCTTTTAAACTAAAGAGACACTATAACGTGTTAAGTGAAAGAAAATGACTGATTCTAAGCAACGTTTCGGTCTGATTAAATTATCATACATACTGATAAAAACACTTTAGGTAACCTTAATGTTCTCATTCCTTTTAATAACAAGTGAGTTTACAGATGAACTGAAAATCCTTCGTTTTATTGATGAAATTTAAACGTGTTTAAAATGGTTTATTATCAAGGTTCATTAATGATTTTTTTACCACAAATTCAGGATAAATAGAGTAATGAAACTCATTCATTCGACTTTATATCACTTAGCTTCTGAGTCATTTGTACGACTGTAGATGGTCTTTTTCGAATGATTTCATGATTTTCTCCTCGTTTACAGGTAAATGAAACAAGTAACATTGGTGAATGAAGATTCTATAATTAAATTCAAATCTATTTCAACGTTTGTACACTACATGAATATCAAGTGTCCAATGCCTGGTTATTATGAACATGATTGGTCTAAAATTTAGCTTTGAACAGATATACGAGAAAAGAATCGTCAGCATCGGGGGCTGTTGAATCATATTAAGATGTAACTTAGATCAGTTCTTAATCACGAAAACATTTGTCATTCGTTTAAGTTACCAAAACAACTTGCTTAAATGAGAGTAGACATCTCACCTACCCTTAAACTGACTTGGTACTTTTTCTTCCCTACGTGTATTCAAAAGCATCATTCAGAAACAAGTTCGAAAATTTAATTTCGCACAATTCTCAGTAAATCCCAATGTTTATGATTCTACCATGGAATCAAATATATAATTTTTGAACCAAATTTAACTACTTGTTAGTAGTATGGAAGATTCATGAAAATCGTAGTATTTACACGGTTGAAATCACAAATCGATTTAAAATAGACCACTATTGAAAGCCCGGAAACATTAGTCGGGTGTGAAACAGTTATTCACCTCAGGAAATGGATGAAGAGTCATGCGATATCGTAAATTGATTAGAGTCACACATTAACATCGTTTGATGCTGGCTCAGTGGTCCAGAGGTTAGGCGTTCGCGAGCGAGACCGAAGGTCCTGTGTTCGAGTCCCACGTGCGTAGTCATGGATTCAAGCTACTTGTCAGTAGTTAATTTCTGTCACAAGAACTAAGGAATCTGCCAATATTCTTACCGAATCGAATGTACAGAAATTGCACTAGAAAAATGTGATGTGCGTTTGAAATAATTAGTCCAATTTCAATATTCATTAAGGTAAACAAGACGAATTATGAAGTTAACTTATATCAAAATAGATATGGATGGAAACAGTAAAACAGTAACGAACGGAAAACTTTTTAAGCAATTCAACAGCATGTGAACAATGTGTGTATGCTCTGAATACATCGTTTGAAACTGTCAGGAAGAAAATTTCAAGCGATAATGTCAGTCAGACAACAAATATCGATCTTTGGTGTTTATGCTTAAAACCCTGAAACATGTATGGAAAATATGATATAATAAGAATTCCTAAGGAAATCCATTCAATAAGACCTATAATATTTTCTAAGAATACACTTACGCGTGCCTCAAGACCTTAAGACATCGTGGCGATCACTCCATTTTTAGATACGTGAAATGGTACTTCCAACTTGGAATAAACATCACTGATTATACTGAATGAAAATCACGCCATATACTTACTTGACTGTGGTTGAAAATTCGAACCACTGGATGTCGGTGCATTGAAATGAATAGGTAGTGTGTTTGCCTTTAAATAAGAAGGTCTTGATTTCGATTCTATCCGTGGTTGTAGGTGAGCACCGGTTAGAAGTTCAAGAATAGAAGAAAACAGATAAATAATTGTAAACCCTTGATGAAAATAGTTTAAACTCCACATAACACATAAATAAAGCTGATCCTAACAACTGATCGAAAGATAAAATCTGTATTAACACACATTTTTCTTGAAATTGCAACGTAGATGACATAAAATAGATATTGATTACAAGAAACATAGTAATGAAAACGTTATACTTTGTCGTCATGGCTTAATCATAGTTTGATTTCGCTATATGACGAATATCTAAACGAATAATCACATTTTAGCAGTGCTATGTTTCCTAAGCAGGATACGGTTTTTTAAAACTATTTTTTAGACGGAATAATGATGTAATTCAATTCGAAATCATTTGTAGTTGACAAAATTATAGCCATTAGAACAAATAACACTATCTATGAAAGGCAACTTAAAAAGAATATATTCTATTCGAGTGAATCATGATAAGTTTCTCCTGGGAATACAACTTCAAACGTTAATCGAGTAATACTCTTTGAAACCATTTTGAAATTCACTTGGATCATGTCAAATATTAACCATTTCTCAAAATTATTTTCACCGTTTCCGATGTCAAAAAGTAATATCTCATATGCTGACGTTTTGATTACATGATAAAACTTGGTATATATATACGCTTTATTGGAACGAATTTCGGTTTTACTGGTTTGCCATGTGTTTGGCTAGCAAGTTAAAAAAGATTGCAATGTGGTGTGTGCTACTGGTGTCGACAGACATAAGTAGTATGTATCATCAATCGTAAGTGAAATGCATGACGGCAGAAGAATAAGAAGATTGAAGAGAAGAGGAGGAGAACAGAAAGTGATTGGTGTAGAAACGAAGGAACAGTCAAGTCTGAGACAATTGATTGACACTGCAAATGAAGTATTTATTGCATGGTTCTCGTATTTTACTAAGAGATTCCGCAATCTTGTATTCAAATACATTTGGTTGTCCCCACCTGTGTTCTCGTTCACTACAGTAAGATCCACTAATCGGTGTGACTCTGTATAAACAGTATTATTGGGAAGGATTTTAATTGTATTATTGCTGAAAATATAGACCGAATTTCGATCATTGTTTGTTGACATATGTAGATACGGTTCGGACTTTATCTATATAATCAATTTTCACAAAATTCAGTTGACATTTTTTATAAGTCTTGCTAGATTTGGCTCCTAAGCTCTTCTAGTAATCCCCAGGCTAGAACTATACAGCGACTCGAAAACGAGAGAAAAGGCGCGAAAGATGCAAAGAACACTTTAATCTATAGGTTCGTTTTTATACAGAAAATATAAGGTTTTTATAGTGCTTTAGATGTCCTTGGGTTTCTGGAAAATTCTGGAATGCTACTAAACATAGTAGCAGTATAGTAATCATCAAATCAGAAATCACACATGTAACTTCTCACTTTCTTGATGTTTCTGGCAAAGCTTCTATTGAACGCTGATTAGATAAGATACTTCTCAGTGTTTTCAGAGCCTTTCTTGGCTTTTTTCGAGGTTTTCTGGATCTCCCTAACAATTTTCAACAACCGGACAATGCAAATGCTTTTTAGTAATAACCTTAATATCATACATGTAGCAGAAGCCAATGGCTATCAAGACTCAGTGACTTAGCTGATAACGCGTTGAAGATTTGAAGCAAAAAGTACTGGGGCCAAAGCCAAGATGGAGTTAGGTTCATCTGATGAGCCCCAAATGAGATGAAACGTGCGTCCTGCATTCTACTCCCAACCACATTCTCATCTATCATAAAAGAATTACTTGTAGGGCATACGAGGAATATTTGGGACTTATCATAGAAACTCAGTCCAGAACATTACCAAATGGATAATACAAAACCTCTTGAATATAAATCATACTCGTCAGTGACCTTGACGTTTTGTTGATAGTTGTAGTAGTTCTTCACGTTTCACCTCCGTGTAATAGAACTGCATTGACGTTCGTATTGAAGATTCTGACAGTTGTTTTTAGTCCCATATGCTCTTCGATTGTGGAAATACTTCCCTTGCTTTGCCGATTCATGCATTAACATCTGTATCATATCATCCTTGTCTGTCGATGATGCTGATTAGATACGTGAAAGCTTATATCCCTTCCACAGCTTCTCCATCAAGTGTGACTGCGTTGGTGCTCTTTGTGTTGTATTTGAGGATCTTGCTTTTCCCTTGTGTATGTCGAGGCCTACTGCTTCAGAGGTTGATGCTATACTAGCTGTGTTCATCTGCGTTTGTTAGTGTGTATGGGATAGAAGGGCTAGGTCATCTGTGAATTCCAACTCGTCTAATTGCATCCGAGCTGTCGATTGTATTCCGTGCTTCCCCTCAGACGTCGAGATCTTCATAATGCAGTCAATCACTAGAGGAAAGAGAAAGGATACTAGTGTGAAGCCTCTGTGTTTCTAACACTTACTGAGATCCGCTTTCTTTGGTATCTCGATGAGATTTCCTTCTTTTCAGTCTGTCGTCACTTGTTCTTCCTCCCAAATCTTTATGAATAGAATGAGGAGCATGTTCGCAGTTACCTCTATGTCTGACTTCGATGCTTCAGGTGGTATATTTTCAGAGCGTGCTGTTTTCCCACTCTTGATTTGTCTGATGGCCTTGTTGATTTCCTCGACCGTTGTGGAACGACATCTATAGGAAAGTCTGTGTGTTTTGCTTCGATGTCTGGTGAGTTCAATGAAACTGATCTTTTCAAGAGTTCTTCAAAGTGTTCTACCCATCTGTTCCTTTGTTCCTGAATCTGAGTGATTGGCATGCCTTCTTTGTCCTTGACCGGTCTCTCTGCTTTCTCAGTTGAAATGCAACTGCCACATGTCCTCCATGCACGACCTTGCGCTGTACTGCAGTCCGCCTGTAGCTCTTTTAGTGCTACTGCCTGTCAAAAACCTGGGTAAAGGAGGAGAGTTGGGCATGTGGTCGGCAACCTCAATCTGTAGAAGACAACTACATAAGTTTTGTTTAGTGCTTCTGTAAGATTGGTGAACGCAAACAAGTAACATTTCTGTGCAGATGCTTTTATTCGATTCTCATTAACTAGAAAGTGATCTTGAAATTTATTCAAATCAGAGCATGTCAGTGGTGTTGCCAAACTATAAATGTTAACTCCGATGATTGCATGTCGTAATAAATATATAGTTCAATAGCCACGTCAACATGTTGAAGTGATCAAGTAAATCAAATGGTCCGAAGCCAACTCTTAAAGCCAGTCAATATGAATGAAAACTGGAAAATCTACCAAGATGGACAATCAAAACAAACTAATATGATACCTGTGGAATAACTAAAAACTCAGTTGTACATGAAATGGAAGCTGAAGATGTTTTCCAGAATGCCGATGACAGCTCCTGAATTAAACTATATAGCTGAGAGAAAACATTACCACTAAAAGCTCCAAATTTTCATCATTTTATAAATAGTTTTGTTTTAGTTTTGCTTCACAACATTTAAGGTTTCCCTTATATCACTGTGAAAGTATGTGTTTGATGGTTTCATAAATGCCTCACATGATTCTTCGTCTCACACATATCCCATCCACAAAATGTATCTGTTGATCGTAAATCAACGTGAAGTATTTTGACCCTAATTACAGGTTCGCCATTCCAACATATGAATCAAATCACTAAAATACACTTATAATTAGCTTCAAACACAATTGAGACTGATGAGTCGAGTTTAATTTCCTCTAACTCAGTGTAACAGTTAATGACAGTAGTTTATTCCCGATGTGACAGTTTGACATTGTGTTATATCCTAGAAGAGATTAAATTACGAGTAACTTCTGAGAACTATTAATAGACTAATATTATATATATATATATATATTCCTCTTGTTATAAGATTTATTTTGACCTACAGAATATTATTATACGATTTACTATTCCTTAATTATACTCAGTTTATTGATTGCAGTCGCGCACGTTCGCAATCAATTTTTGGTTTGATCTTGTATAAATGCTATTTCGTATTTTATGGTATGATGTGGTCTGTTTGGCTGGTATATAAACTAGATATGTTTAAAATAAACTATTTGTATAGTGGAGGCTCGTATTGGTGTTCTGGACACAACTGGCAGGGCTAGGAGGGGAAAAGACTAATAAAAACATCAGTCTGCTCATACCATCCGAACGTCATTGGTTTTACCCACTGCTAAGTCTTTATAAGTCGTATTCAGATTGGTGAATAAGCCAAATGATATTAAACCGGCCTAAAAGACATATCACACTAGTTCTATTCTCAGTGTAACACTTAGATCAGAACAATTATATATATTATCAGAATGGGTTTTGTGGAGGTTTTAGAAATTTCACAGATTGAAATCATGAGTCACTTGAAGCTAGACCACCATTGAAAACCTGGAAGCACTGGACGGCAGTGCGCACTGCTGTGGAGTCCCATACTAGGATGAAACAGCCGTCCAGTGCTTCCAGGTTTTCAATGGTGGTCTAGCTTCAAGTGACTCATGATTTCAATCTGTGAAATTTCTAAAACCTCCACAAAACCCATTCTGATAATATATATAATTGTTCTGATCTAAGTGTTACACTGAGAATAGAACTAGTGTGATATGTCTTTTAGGCCGGTTTAATATCATTTGGCTTATTCACCAATCTGAATACGACTTATAAAGACTTAGCAGTGGGTAAAACCAATGACGTTCGGATGGTATGAGCAGACTGATGTTTTTATTAGTCTTTTCCCCTCCTAGCCCTGCCAGTTGTGTCCAGAACACCAATACGAGCCTCCACTATACAAATAGTTTATTTTAAACATATCTAGTTTATATACCAGCCAAACAGACCACATCATACCATAAAATACGAAATAACATTTATATACCATTCACTAGTACTTGAAATCAATACAGAAATGATTCACCCTGTCTTGTAACTATTAGCAAGTAAACAGAACTAAGTAGCTACATTTGAACCGTTGTTTCACAAATTTCAAATGTGGTAT